TCGCACAAAGGACTTGGTTATGTACTGATGCAAAATGGAAGAGTCATCGCTTATGCTTCTCGGCAGCTGAAACCCCACGAGAAGAGTTATTCCATGCATGATCTCGAGTTAGCAGCAGTTGTCTTTGCTTTGAAGATATGGAGACATTATCTGTATGGCAGTACTTGCGAAGTGTACACCGACCACAAGAGTCTCAAGTATCTTTTTACTCAAAAAGAACTGAATATGCGGCAGCGACGGTGACTGGAACTTATTAAAGATTACAATTTGCAGATCCAATACCATCCTGGCAAAGCCAACACAATTGCGGATGCACTTAGTCGAAAAAGTATGGGGACTTTAGCAAATTTGGTTACAGGGCAAATGGGATTGGCAGATTAATTGGCTAAAATAGAAGTGGACCTTATATTACATGGGCAGGAGGCTTTAATAACAGCAGTGATGGCCTAACCAACCATACTTGGAGAAATTAGACTGCACCAGATGGAAGATGAAACCCTAGAGAAGATATGTGATGAATTAGGAACTAAATCGAAATCAGGATTCAGTGTAGTAGATGCGGTGCTTAAATTTCAAAATCGAGTATGCGTCCCCAATGTGTTGAACTTTAAACAGAAACTTATGGAAGAGGCACATACTTCAAGATTTTCAATGCATCCAGGAAGTACCAAAATGTATCGAGGTTTGAAGCAAAATCTTTGGTGGCCAGGTATGAAAAAGGAGATGGCTGAGTTTGCCTCTAAGTGTTTGCAATGTCAGCAAGTAAAAGCAGAGCATCAAAGACCCGCAGGGTTGTTACAATCCCTTCCCATCCCAGAATGGAAATGGGAACATCTGACCATGGATTTTGTTGTGGGATTACCACGGACTCCTCGGGGTATGAATTCTATATGGGTCATTGTGGACCGATTAACTAAGTCCGCTCACTTCCTACCAGAAAAGACTCAGTATAATGCAGATAAATTGGCGGTAATATATGTGAATGAAGTTGTGAGGCTTCATGGCGTTCCGGTTTCTATTGTGTCAGATAGGGATCCTAAGTTCGTTTCCAGATTCTGGCAGAGTTTACAAGAAGCAATGGGTACAGAATTGAAGTTCAGCACAGCTTTCCACCCTCAAACCGACGGTCAATCCGAGAGAACGATACAGACTCTTGAAGATATGCTCCGAATGTGTGTGCTAGATTTTCAAGAAAGTTGGGAAACCCATCTACCATTAGTAGAAGTTGCGTACAATAATAGCTACCATTCGAGTATAGATATGGCACCCTATGAAGCTTTATATGGAAGACCATGTCGTTCTCCGGTGTGTTGGGCTGAAGTTGGAGATAAATCCTTGCTAGGGCCTGAAATTGTTCAGTTAACCACTGAAAAGGTCAAAGTTATTCGAGAAAGATTGAAAACTGCTCAAAGTAGGTAGAAGAGTTATGCGGATAATCGACGGAGGGATTTGAAATTTAAAGTAGATAATTATGTCTTTGTAAAAGTCACTCCGATGAAAGGGCATCCGAGATTCGGAAAAAGGGGTAAGTTAACACCCCGTTATGTTGGTCCCTTCCAAATTTTGGAGAAAGTGGGTCCAGTAGCTTACCGAGTTGCCCTTCCGCTGAATATGAGTCAAGTACATAACGTGTTTCATGTCTCTATGCTTCGCGGATACCTCCCGGATCCGTCTCACGTTATTGACTACCACCAAATTGAGTTGGATGACAAGCTAACTTACGAAGAAAAACCAATTTGTATCTTGGACCGACAAGTGAAACAATTACGAAACCGGACAATTCCAATGGTAAAGGTTGAGTGGCAAGAACATTACGAAACTAACGCAACTTGGGAAAAAGAAGAGGAAATGCAACATCAATACCCACACCTGTTTCAGTCCTAAGGTAAAACAAGTTTGGAGGGCCAAACTTATTTAAGGGGGGAGAGTGTAATAACCCGACCCTCGTATATGCTTTCTGATTTATTTTTAGTCCTTGTTTTATGTTTTTAAATGTTTACTGCGAAATTCCATGAGAAATTAAGATTAAGTAAGTGAAATCCAAGTTTAAGGATGTTTATCTGTTCTTTAAAGAACGTATCTGTTACACCTTAAATTTTTGACTTAGAAATTGGAAGCCTTAACGGCTTAATTATCTGAAATTGATTATATATCTGTGATCAGCATAATTTTTACATAATATTATGTATGTTTGCGAAATTTCAATTTCGGAAGGATTAAACGATGGAATTTTGTCTTATATGCCTTTATATATACATATATATCAAAGTCTAAGTTCCTTTAAGCTTGAGAAAAAATAAATTGACAATCTTCTGGAGTGGAAAAAAAAAACAACCGAAAGAATAGGGAAAAAGGGAGAAACAAGGGCTAGGCTCAACAAGGAAGGGGAATTGAGATTAAATTAGGAGGATCCTTGCAATTTTTAAAAGTTCAAGGTATGTTAAATTGGTTGTATACGAGAATTCTTCTTTCAATTGTGTAGAAGGGTTTGTTATGATTCATGTTTGATGATTTAGGGTTGTCATGAAGAATTGTTCATAATTTGTGTTTGATTGAAGAGAATACTCATCAATTGGTTGCTTTGATATGCAAATTATACCTCACTCTTTGTTTCTCATGTCAAATCCATGAAAATATATTTATGTAGTGTATGATGTTTAATAAACATTAAAGATGAAAGTTAGAAGGATTGTAACTTGATAGAGCTTCTAATCATGTGTATTTATGATACTTAAGTTCCAAACCATGATATGGTGATGTTGGGTTAATGCATTGCATTAATTTATCCTTGTCTTGCATGAATAATGAACTGGGGTTGCAGAATTTCTGGTTGAACTTCGAAACTGTTCCAACAGGGCCACGGCCACTCGAGCGGAGGTTCGGGCGCTCGAGCGGAAAGGAAGAAAATTCATATGTTCTGTTTTACGTGCTGGACCCTCAATTATTTTTAAATTATGTTTTTGATGATCCTAGATGGTTATAAATTCACTTGAAGCGTAACGAATGAGGAACTAATTTACCAAGGGAAAAGAAGAACTAATATGCAAGTTTTGATTGTGTACAGGACACACTATGGGAGGAAGTAGCACGTCGTCTCAACACCACAGTGAGTAGTAGTACCATTATATGCTTCATATGTATAGCTAATGATTGTCATTAGCATCTTGTTCATACATGGTATGTGATTATGTTCATGTTTTAATGTGGGCAAATAAAGAAATGGGGAAGATGAAGTATTTTCATTCTCTAAGATTATGGGCCTTTGGCCATATTATATAAGTAGCTACGTTATGAAACAAAGTGCTACACGGGACTAAGTGCTACATTGTGAGTCACCGCTAGAACCCGTGTGGGACACCTCTTGAGTTCATGCAAGAATTTACAAGGGCTTAACGCCAATTTACAAGGGCTTAATGCCAATTTACAAGGGCTTAATGCCAATCTACAAGGGCTTAGTGCCAATTTACAAGGGCTTAATGCCAAATGATTCAAGGGCTCCATGCCAATTTATCCAAGGGCCATGCGCCACTGAGTTAATGGGCTTCATGCCACCATGTTAAGAGTTTGTGCCACATCATGTAAGGGCTTTAAGCCAAAACGTTATGTTCGAACCAATATGTTCCATGATAAGATCTAAGACTATTATGAATAAGTACAGACTCAGACTCGTTTTGTGAATGCTGCATTAGTATACGAAAGTACATATTTGAAGCTTTGGATACCAGGTTGGAACTTTCCTTGGCATTGTAGAATTTCAGAATTTGCATGGTCCGCTCGAGCGGAGGAATTTCCGCTCGAGAGTGAAATTCAACCTCTCAGCAGTTTTCAGAAATTTCGCTGTCCGCTCGAGCGTGGGAATTCCCGCTCGAGCGTAAAAATCGACCGCCCAGTATTTTTGTTAAGTTGTACAGTCCGCTCGAGCGGCCAGAGTGGCGCTCGAGCGGGGACCCATTTTCAGGGAAATTTGGAAAAGTTGCATTTAATTCTTATGTCTATCCTCATCTATTTTCAAGGCATGTTAGACACAATATATGGTTCAATAAGTGTTGAGAAGTTACGAAACTATATGTATTTGTTTTTACTATGGTTCAAGTTAAGCATCACTTTGTTACGTATTACTATTCACTGAGCTTGGCTCACCCTTTGTCATGTCTGTGTCTGTAGGTAACCAACCAGGAGGTCAGCCCTAACCCGGAACGTCTGTTTCTCTTATCAACCTGTATGAGCCCGAGTACTAAACGATAGCACTTATTTTGTGAAGTCTGACTATATTTTGCTTACTCATTTAAGGTTGATTGTACATGGCACTAATGTTTTTGTATATGCCTTACTGTAAGGTTGGGACTATGTATGTATGTGTATATAACTGACACTAAAGGTATCATTTTGGCTTGTAACTAATTGTCATAGTGTTCATGATGCATGTGATCCTGGCATATTAGAAGTAGCTCAATGGAGATTCTTATTATTTTGAGTTCTAGTGCTTCTGTTAAGGCCCCGTATATTACGTACAATAGTGTATTTATCCGTTTCCGTTTAGGTCATGCCCAAACTCTTACGGGCGGGTTTAGGGGCGTGACAAGTGGTATCAGAGCACGAGTTCCTATTACACACACAGATCCATTGAGCTCTAGGATGTCTAGAAAAGATTTAGGCATTTTGCATGACATCCTGAAAGTATATGAAAGATCGATGGCAACGCTACAAGTACTTTGATAAGGCTAACAATTTTGAATATGGTTATTGTATATAACTGCTTGTTGTGTCAGGCAATGGTGAGAACAAGGACAGAAGAGGCGGAAGATGCAGCTACTGCACGGTTGGATAGAATGGAGAGAATCATTTTGGAAATGGCGGAGACCTTACGACAAAAAGAGCAACAGCCGCAACAACAGCAACAGCCACCAGAACAACCGCCACCACCACCGGTACCTCCACCGGCAGTACAAGACTTTTAGGCTGAAGACCGAACTATTACCCTTATCAAAGAGTTTAAAAAGATGAAACCGTCGTCCTTCAAAGGAGGGATAGAACCAATGAAAGCTGAAGCGTGGGTGTTGGGAATAGAGAAGTAATTTGAATTCTTTCCTTGTACCGAAGCTCAGAAGCTGCAATTGGCTGCATTCACTTTTGAGGAAGAGGTGCGGAGATGGTGGATACTTACGAGAACTAGACATCAAGGATTGACCTGGGATAGGTTTTTGGAGATATTCTACGTTAAATATTTGCCACAGAGTATGTAAGATAAAAAGGTGACTGAATTCGAAACCCATAGGCAAGGGAACAAGACTGTTGCTGAGTATGAAGCCCAATTTGCCGAATTGGCCCGATTTGCTCCTCATATGGTGGACACAGACTATAAGAAGGCACGAAAATTCGAAGGGGGATTACGGGGTGCTATTCTGGACCGAGTTAATATGTTGAAGTTGCCTACTTATGTAGAAGTGTTGGAGAGGGCCATTATAGCAGAAGGGGATATTAATGCACAAAACCGAATTTCTGAATGGAAAGGAAAAAGGCAAACCAATCAGGGGTCGAAGGGTATAACTGCTCCACCAAATAAGAAACACAATTCAGGAACTTCAAATGTTTTTACCCCTAATCAAGATTCAATTCCTGTATGTGTGGAGTGTGGAAAGAAACACCGTGGAATATGTTATCCGAAGTCGGGAGCCTGCTTCCAGTGTGGGAAAACGGGTCATGTGATAAGGGATTGCCCTCAAAGGAAGCAGCAACAAAGTGGCAACCGGACTACTACCAGTTCAGCGAGGTCTGCACCAACTACCAACACCAAGGCATCAGTCAACCTGAATAACAATAAGGAAACCGCGCGACAAGGCAGGGTGTTTGCATTGGTTCCAGGGGATGTGCAAAAGGCGGCGACAGTGGTGTCAGGTACATTTATGGTTCACAGTCATTCTGCTTGTGCATTGTTTGATTCCGGTTCCACCCATTCTTTTATGTCAAAGCTATTTACTCCTAATTTAGATACATCTGAGGAAGTATTATCTTATATGCTGTGTGTGTCTTCACCGTTGGGAAATTCTATGATTTGTACTTCTATATATGTTGCATGTGAACTCCACCTTGGGGATATTGGGGTATACGCTAACTTAATACCTCTCGATATCATGTATTTTGATATTATACTGGGGATGGACTGGTTGAGTGAACATAGTGCAACTATAAATTGTTTGACTAAGCAAGTGAGTTTTTATCCTCCTGGTCAAGCAGAATCTACAATTCAGGGACAGGAGGTGACTTCTCCACCATATTTGATTTCCGCAGCAAAGGCTTGTAGATTAATTCAAAAAGGGTGTCAAGGGTACTTGTGTAGTGTTGTAGAAGAACAAATGGTGAATGGGGGTACTGACATAATTCCAGTTGTCCGTGAATCTCCGGACGTCTTCCCAGAAGAGTTACCGGGGCAATTGATAGATCGGGAAATTGAGTTTACAATTGATATAGTACTAGGAACTCAACCTATTTCTAAGACTCCGTATAGAATGTCACCTGTTGAGATGAAGGAATTGAAACATCAGTTGCAAGATTTACTAGACAAGGGATTCATTCGCCCGAGTGTATCTCCGTGGGTGCACCAGTTTTGTTTGTGAAAAAGAATGATGGAACACTCCGGCTTTGTATCGATTATAGGGAACTTAATAAGGTAACAATCAAGAATAAATATCCTTTGCCAAGAATTGATGATCTATTTGACCAGCTTCAAGGAGCACAAGTCTTTTCTATGATTGATCTACGGTCTGGCTACCATCAATTAAAGGATAAGGCTGATGATGTTGATAAGACAGCCTTTCGAACTCGCTATGGTCATTATGAATTTCTGGTTATGCCCTTTGGAGTTACTAATGCCCCAGCAGTTTTTATGGATTTGATGAACCGTGTCTTTAAACCTCATTTGGACGAATTTGTGGTGGTTTTTATTGACGATATTCTCATATATTCGAAGACTGTAGAAGCTCATTAGAATCATCTTCGTTTGGTCCTTCAAACCCTCCGGGAAAAGAAACTGTATGCAAAGTTGAAGAAATGTGAATTTTGGCTACTGGAGGTAGCATTTCTGGGGCACGTTATCACTAAGGAAGGAGTTTCTGTTGATCCACATAAGATTGAGGCAATCGTGAGTTGGCCAACTCCCACTAATGTGACCGAAGTGCATAGTTTTATGGGGTTAGCTGGCTATTACAGACGGTTTGTTCAAGATTTCTCAAAAATTACTGTGCCGCTTACACAACTGACTCGAAAAGGAGTTACATTTGAATGGACAGAAGAACGGGAGTCTACTCTCCAAGAATTGAAGACAAAGTTGACAACAGCACCAGTTTTGGTCCTGCCATCAGGTACAGAGGGATATGTCATCTATAGTGATGCTTCGCACAAAGGACTTGGTTATGTACTGATGCAAAATGGAAGAGTCATCGCTTATGCTTCTCGGCAGCTGAAACCCCACGAGAAGAGTTATTCCATGCATGATCTCGAGTTAGCAGCAGTTGTCTTTGCTTTGAAGATATGGAGACATTATCTGTATGGCAGTACTTGCGAAGTGTACACCGACCACAAGAGTCTCAAGTATCTTTTTACTCAAAAAGAACTGAATATGCGGCAGCGACGGTGACTGGAACTTATTAAAGATTACAATTTGCAGATCCAATACCATCCTGGCAAAGCCAACACAATTGCGGATGCACTTAGTCGAAAAAGTATGGGGACTTTAGCAAATTTGGTTACAGGGCAAAAGGGATTGGCAGATGAATTGGCTAAAATGGAAGTGGACCTTATATTACATGGGCAGGAGGCTTTAATAGCAGCAGTGGTGGCCTAACCAACCGTACTTAAAGAAATTACACTGCACCAGATGGAAGATGAAACTCTAAAGAAGATATCTGATGAATTAGGAAGTAAACCGAAATTAGGATTCAGTGTAGTTGATGAGGTGCTTAAATTTCAAAATCGAGTATGCGTCCCCAATGTGTTGAACTTTAAACAGAAACTTATGGAAGAGGCACATACTTCAAGATTTTCAATGCATCCAGGAAGTACCAAAATGTATCGAGGTTTGAAGCAAAATCTTTGGTGGCCAGGTATGAAAAAGGACATAGCAGAGTTTGTCACTAAGTGTTTGCAATGTCAGCAAGTAAAAGCAGAGCATCAGAGACCCGCAGGGTTGTTACAATCCCTTCCCATCCCGGAATGGAAATGGGAACATCTGACCATGGATTTTGTTGTGGGATTACCACGGACTCCTCGGGGTATGAATTCTATATGGGTCATTGTGGACTGATTAACTAAGTCCGCTCACTTCCTACCAGTAAAGACTCAGTATAATGCAGATAAATTGGCGGTAATATATATGAATGAAATTGTGAGGCTTCATGGTGTTCCGGTTTCTATTGTGTCAGATAGGGATCCTAAGTTCGTTTCCAGATTCTGGCAGAGTTTACAAGAAGCAATGGGTACAGACTTGAAGTTCAGCACAGCTTTCCACCCTCAAACCAACGGTCAATCCGAGAGAACGATACAGACTCTTGAAGATATGCTCCGAATGTGTGTGCTAGATTTTCAAGAAAGTTGGGAAACCCATCTACCATTAGTAGAATTTGCGTACAATAATAGCTACCATTCGAGTATAGATATGGCACCCTATGAAGCTTTATATGGAAGACCATGTCGTTCTCCGGTGTGTTGGGCTGAAGTTGGAGATAAATCCTTGCTAGGGCCTGAAATTGTTCAGTTAACCACTGAAAAGGTCAAAGTTATTCAAGAAAGATTGAAAACTGCTCAAAGTAGTTAGAAGAGTTATGCGGATAATCGACGGAGGGATTTGGAATTTAAAGTAGATAATTATGTCTATGTAAAAGTCACTCCGATGAAAGGGCATCAGAGATTCGGAAAAAGGGGTAAGTTAACACCCCGTTATGTTGGTCCCTTCTAAATTTTGGAGAAAGTGGGTCCGGTAGCTTACTGAGTTGCCCTTCCGCCGAATATGAGTCAAGTACATAACGTGTTTCATGTCTCTATGCTTCGCGGATAGCTCCCGGATCCGTCTCACGTTATTGACTACCACCAAATTGAGTTGGATGACAAGCTAACTTACGAGGAAAAACCAATTTGTATCTTGGACCGACAAGTGAAACAATTACGAAACCGGACAATTCCAATGGTAAAGGTTGAGTGGCAAGAACATTATGAAACTAATGCAACTTGGGAAAAAGAAGAGGAAATGCAACATCAATACCCACACCTGTTTCAGTCCTAAGGTAAAACAAGTTTGGAGGACAAAACTTATTTAAGGGGGGAGAGTGTAATAACCCGACCCTCGTATATGCTTTCTGATTTATTTTTAGTCCTTGTTTTATGTTTTTAAATGTTTACTGCGAAATTCCATGAGAAATTAAGATTAAGTAAGTGAAATCCATGTTTAAGGATGTTTATCTGTTCTTTAAGGAACGTATCTGTTACACCTTAAATTTTTGACTTAGAAATTGGAAGCCTTAACAGCTTAATTATCTGAAATTGATTATGTATCTGTGATCAGCATAATTTTTACGTAATATTTTGTATGTTTGCAAAATTTCAGTTTCGGAACGATTAAACGATGGAATTTTGTCTTATATGCCTTTATATATACATATATATCAAAGTCTAAGTTCCTTTAAGCTTGAGCAAAAATAATTTGACAATCTCCTGGAGAGGAAAAAAAAAACAAACGAAAGAAAAGGGAGAAAGGGAGAAACAAGGGCAAGGCTCAACAAGGAAGGGGAATTGAGATTAAATTAGGAGGATCCTTGCAATTTTTAAAAGTTCAAGGTATGTTAAATTGGTTGTATACGAGAATTCTTCTTTCAATTGTGTAGGAGGGTTTGTTATGATTCATGTTTGATGATTTAGGGTTGTTATGAAGAATTGTTCATAATTTGTGTTTGATTGAAGAGTATACTCATCAATTGGTTGCTTTGATATGCAAATTATACCTCACTCTTTGTTTCTCATGTCAAATCCATGAAAATATATTTATGTAGTGTATGATGTTTAATAAACATTAAAGATGGAAGTTAGAAGGATTGTAACTTGATAGAGCTTCTAATCATGTGTATTTGTGATACTTAAGTTCCAAACCATGATATGGTGATGTTGGGTTAATGCATTGCATTAATTTATCCTTGTCTTGCATGAATAATGAAGTGGTGTTGCAGAATTTCTAGGTGAACTTCGAAACTGTTCAAACCGGGGCACGGCCGCTCGAGCGGAGGTTCGGGCGCTTGAGCGGAAAGGAAGAAAATTTATATGTTCTGTTTTACGTGCTGGACCCTCAATTATTTTTAGATTATGTTTTTGATGATCTTAGATGGTTATAAATTCACTTGAAGCGTAACGAATGAGGAACTAATTTACCAAGGGAAAAGAAGAACTAATATGCAAGTTTTGATTGTGTACAGGACACACTATGGGAGGAAGTAGCACGTCGTCTCAACACCACAGTGAGTAGTAGTACCATTATATGCTTCATATGTATAGCTAATGATTGTCATTAGCATCTTGTTCATACATGGTATGTGATTATGTTCATGTTTTAATGTGGGTATATAAAGAAATGGGGAAGATGAAGTATTTTCATTCTCTAAGATTATGGGCCTTTGGCCATATTATATAAGTAGCTACGTTATGAAACAAAGTGCTACACGGGACTAAGTGCTACATTGTGAGTCACCGCTAGAACCCGTGTGGGACACCTCTTGAGTTCATGCAAGAATTTACAAGGGCTTAACCCCAATTTACAAGGGCTTAATGCCAATTTACAAGGGCTTCATGCCAATCTACAAGGGCTTAGTGCCAATTTACAAGGGCTTAATGCCAATCTACAAGGGCTTAGTACCAATTTACAAGGGCTTAATGCCAAATGATTCAAGGGCTCCATGCCAATTTGTCCAAGGGCCTTGCGCCACTGAGTTAATGGGCTTCATGCCACCATGTTAAGAGTTTGTGCCACATCATGTAAGGGCTTTAAGCCAAAACGTTATGTTCGAACCAATATGTTCCATGATAAGATCTAAGACTATTATGAATAAGTACAGACTCAGACTCGTTATGTGAATGCTGCATTAGTATACGAAAGTACATATTTGAAGCTTTGGATGCCAGGTTGGAACTTTCCTTGGCGTTGTAGAATTTCAGAATTTGCATGGTCCGCTCGAGCGGAGGAATTTCCGCTCGAGCGTGAAATTCAACCTCTCAATAGTTTTCAGAAATTTCGCTGTCCACTCGAGCGTAGGAATTCCCGCTCGAGCGTAAAAATTGACCGCCTAGTATTTTTGTTAAGTTGTACAGTCCGCTCGAGTGGCCAGAGTGGCGCTCGAGCGGGGACACATTTTTCAGGGAAATTTGGAAAAGTTGCATTTAATTCTTATGTCTATCCTCATCTATTTTCAAGGCATGTTAGACACAATATATGGTTCAATAAGTGTTGAGAAGTTGCAAAACTATATGTATTTGTTTTTACTACGGTTCAAGTTAAGCATGACTTTGTTACGTATTACTATTCACTGAGCTTGGCTCACCCTTTGTCATGTCTGTGTCTGTAGGTAACCAACCAGGAGGTCAGCCCTAACCTGGAACGTCTGTTTCTCTCGTCAACCTGTATGTGCCCGAGTACTAAACGATAGCACTTATTTTGTGAAGTCTGACTGTATTTTGCTTACTCATTTAAGGTTGATTGTACATGGCACTAATGTTTTTGTATATGCCTTACTGTAAGGTTGGGACTGTGTATGTATGTGTATATAACTGACACTAGAGGTATCATTTTGGCTTGTAACTAATTGTCATAGTGTTCATGATGCATGTGATCCTGGCATATTAGAAGTAGCTCAATGGACATTCTTATTATTTTGAGTTCTAGTGCTTCCGTTAAGGCCCCGTATATTACGTACAATAGTGTATTTATCCGTTTCCGTTTAGGTCATGCCCAAACTCTTAGGGGCGGGTTTAGGGGCGTGACAAGTGGTATCAGAGCACGAGTTGCTATCACACACACGGATCCATTGAGCTCTAGGATGTCTAGAAAAGATTTAGGCATTTTGCATGACATCCTGAAAGTATATGAAAGATCGATGGCAACGCTACAAGTACTTTGATAAGGCTAACAATTTTGAATATGGTTATTGTATATAACTGCTTGTTGTGTCAGGCAATGGTGAGAACAAGGATAGAAGAGGCAGAAGATGCTGCTACTGCACGGTTGGATAGAATGGAGAGAATGATTTTGGAAATGGCGGAGACCTTACGACAACAACAGCAACAGCCGCAACAACAGCAACAGCCACCAGAACAACCGCCACCACCACCGGTACCTCCACCGGCAGTACAAGACTTTTAGGCTGAAGACCGAACTATTACCCTTATCAAAGAGTTTAAAAAGATGAAACCGCCGTCCTTCAAAGGAGGAATAGAACCAATGAAAGCTGAAGCATGGGTGTTGGGAATAGAGAAGTTATTTGAAGTCTTTCCTTGTACTGAAGCTCAGAAGGTGCAATTGGCTGCATTCACTTTTGAGGAAGAGGCGCGGAGATGGTGGATGCTTACGAGAACTAGACATCAAGGATTGACCTGGGATAGGTTTTTGGAGATATTCTACGGGATTGTTGATTTTCTATCCCGCTGGGCTAAAGATGACATGTTGTCCATGCTTACACCTTCTTGGCAGAGCACTTTGAAAGACGCTTTTCACTGGATTGGAAGTTGGAGACCTACCATGGCTTTTCACTTACTCTATTTCAAACCTAGGATCCAACTTAAGGCCAGACTCGACAAGTTAATTTGTGGACT